TAAAAGACATTTAAAATCAGTTGGGTAGCATAAACTGAATAAAGATATTTTTAGCAGAGTAACAGCAACAAAAAAATCCACATGTTAATTTCTTTGTCTAATTGTAATTTCACACAGACCTCCTCTCAGGCTATCCATAGTGAATGGTTTATGGATAGAGATATTAAAAGTGTGGGGCTTTTTCTTTGGCCTCATGGTGTAACTTACAGCCCCCAACAACCATTGTGTCCTTTGGCTTCTCTTCCATTTCATCATGGGTGCCTCCCCTACTACTATCATTGCCAACAGCTTTCCAAAACAGCTGTCTTAGTCATCATACGTGTGAACACCAGCACCTCAAGATGGGAATATATTTTTATGTGGGGCAAAAAATCACAATTCTTCCTAAGTGATTTCAGAGAGTTTATTAACCACTTCCAATTGCTATACCAGTATGATACTTTATTGAATTCTGTTAAAAACAACAACAAGCTACGATGCATTTTGAAGGACAACAATGTTTAAGGAAATCTAGTCCTTAAGAAAGAATCAAGCATCAGAACAAACTATAAAGCAGTAATTGAAATTATGTAACCCAGTTTAAAAGGAGACTAAACACAGAGACTCAATACCCAAATCACACTCTAGTCTTCAGTCTCTGCTTTCTTTCCCTGATAAGCTAGTTCTTCACCTCCACCTCCACCATTACCACCACCACCTCCCTCCCCACTGCCAACTCTTTTCATTACTCAGATACAGACACATAACAAGCTCCTTGTCCCCCAGTCCCTGGCACACCCTCCTCACTGATCTAGGCAGGCCCTTTTCTTGTTACAGTTTCCCTTATCATCCATGATCCCCACTCCTAGTCCCTCTCCTCCAAATGCACCCACTGGACGTTTTTGATACATATCTTTGAGTAGGGAGATAATGTTGTGCTCTAGAGCTTGTCCCATTTCTTACATTTTAAACTCAATACTCTACTTGGAAACCCTATACAAAGGTTGCTAAGAGTTGGAACCAATGAGACAGCACTTAACAAAAGCAACAACATTATAACTTAACACTCGTGTTTAATACCAATGTTGAACAAGAACTGTATGCCAAGCTCTTTATCTATATATTATCTTTAACCTCACAAAACCATTTTGAGGAAAATATTACCTCCATTTAACTCAAGAGCAGACTGAGGCATGGAAGAGTGTCTTGCCTAGTTCCCCATGAGTAGTACTGGCAAGCTCATTCTGAATTCTATATATAATTTCAACCATATAATATGAGTCAGAACCAACTCAACAGCACTTAACAACGACAACCACAAACAAATCTCTTATATGGCTTTACTGAATTTTATTTTATATTATATCCTTGTCATTCATCAAGAGATAATGAAAAAATAAGTTACATGAGAAACATTCCTTCATCTTCTCTACATAGCCATATTGTTTGTCAATTACAATGCAATGTATCATTTTTTATTTTTTATTTTTTTTAGCAAATACCATGTGCCAAGGATTGTGTTAAGTGCTGGGAATACAATGTTTAATAAGAGATGAGCCTTGCCTTCAAAAAGCTTACTTAGCACCATGATGAGTATTAGGCTCTCTTTGTGGTTACTACTATGAACTCTATGGTAAAACTTCCCGAGTTCAGATTGCAACTCCATCGTTACTAGCTCTGTGACTTTGAGCAAATTACTTTCTAGGCCTCAGTTCCCTATTTGTAATAATAAAATGATAATAATAATAGTCCTAGCACCTAAACCTGTTGTAAGGAACCACTGTAATAATACATTTAAAGTACGTAGCAGCATGCATGTTACTCTGTTAATAAAATGATAAATGTTATCATTTTTAATTAAGCAAGTCCATGATGTCGATAGAAAAATGCTCTGATAGAGGTGTGCAAAAGTTCTGTTGTTGTGAACACAAAGGAAAAATTGTCTAAATTATACTGGCAGGAGAAAGAGGAAAGAAATTTAGGGCATGCTTCCCAAGGCAGTTAATCTTCATCTATCCCTGACTAAAGAGTTCCAGGAGGTGGACTGGCACAAGTGGTTTGCAGTCAGCTACTAACAAATTGTAGCAGTTTGAACCCACAGAATAAAGGCCTGGGTAACTGTTTCCTAAAGATAACAGCCGAGAAGACCCTGTGTTCTACTCTGTAAAACATGGGGTCGCTATGAGTCACAGGTTGATTATCAGTCAGGTGATAACTCTGGCAGCTAACAACAAAGAGCTGCATGTTAAGAAAATCCCAAAGACTCAGCAGGACAAGGATTGTAACTAATTAAAAGAACAACATACAAAAATCAGTCAGATTCCTTTACACTAAAAAGTAGAACTTTGAAAAGGAAATAAAGAAAACAATACTATTCACAATAGTCACCCAAAGATGAAATACTTAGGACTAAATCTAACCAGAGAAACAATCCAAACCAAATCTAATGCCATTGAGTTGATTCCAACTCATAGTGACCCTATATAAGGTTTCCAAAATTGTAAATCTCTATAGGAGCAGACAGCCTTATCTTTCTCCTGCAGAGTGACCTTGCAATTAGCAGCCCAACACCTAGACCAGGGCTTCTTACAGAAACAAATGACTTATACAAAGAAAACTACAAAATGCTACTACAAGAAACCAAAAGGGCCTACATAAATGGAAGAACTATACCATGCTCATAGATAGGAAGACTTAACACTGAAAATGTCAATATTACCCAAAGCAATCTACAGATATAATGCAATCCTTACCTAGATTCCAACATCACTCTTTAAAGAGATATAAAAACTAATCACTAACTTTATATAGAAAGGAAAAAGACCCTGGATAAGCAAAGCTAAAGAAAAATAAAGTAGGAGACCTCATACTTTCCGATCTCAAAACCATGGTAGTCAAAACTGCTTGATATTAGTATAACCAATATACAGTCCAGTGGTACAGAATTGAGAACCCAGAAGTAAATTCATCTACGTATGGACAGCTGATCTTTGACAAAGGATCAAAATGTATTAAATAGGGAAGAAAATTGTTGCTTTAACAAATGTTGTTGTTGTCCTTAAGTGCCATCGAGTCGGTTCTGACCCATAGCAACCCTGTATAGTGTTTCCAAGGAGCAATGGGTGAGCTTGAACTGACAGCGACCTTATGGGCCAAACCAACTTCGCTGTCCAGTGCAGTAACCCACAGTGCCATACCAGGAGTCCTCTTTAACAAATGGTGCTGGCAAAATTGGATATCATTTTGCAGGAAAAAAAAAAGAAACAGGACCCATATCTCACACCATATACAAAAACAAACTCAAGGTGGGTCAAAGACCTAAATGTAAATACTAGGGCTATCTAGATCATCAATGAAAAAAAAAAAAAAAAACACAAAAAAAAACCAGGGACAGACTTAGGGGCGCTACTACATGGCAAAAATATGCTATCAGACATCATTGAAAACACACAAACAGCAGAAAACAAACACGATAACTGGTGGTGGTGGCTGGTACCTCCTGAAAATTAGACACTTACATGATTATAGAATTATAAAATATTATAAAAATATTTCACCAACTGGTTAAAAAGACAACCCACAGACAGAGAAAATAATTTTTGGCAATGATATATTGAACAAGGGGCTGATGTCTAAAATTTATAGAAAACTTCAATATCTCAAAAAGAAAATGGCAGAAGGCATGAGCGTCTAGACACTTAAATGAAAAATTCATTCAGACTGGCAACAAACATATGAAGAAATACAATCATTAGCCATCTGTTGTTGTTAGGTGCCATCCAGTCAGTTCCAACTCATAGCAACCCCATACACTCTGGCAGCTGACAACAAAGAGCTGCATGTTAAGAAAATCCATGTGAAGACACATGGAAACAATTAGTCAACAAAATGAAACACTGCACAGTCTTGCGCTATCCTCGTAATTGTTAAATTTGAGCCCATTGTTGCTGCCACTGTGCCAATCCATCTCATTGGGGGTCTTGCTCTTTTTCACTGGCCCTCTACTTTACCAAGCATGATGTCCTTCTCCAGGGACTCGTCCCTCCTGATAACATGTCTCACCATCCTGCTTGTAAGGCACATCATGGCTACACTTTTCCCAAGACAGATATGTTTGTTTTTCTGGCAGCCCATGGAGCTTTTAGTTTTCTTCTCCAACACCAGAATTCAAATGTATCAATTCTTGTGGGGAGATGTAAGTCAAAACAACAGTGACACATCATTTCACCCCAGAATTAAAAGCAAAGTTCTAAAAACCGGAAACCAACAAATATGATGCTGTAGAAAAACTGTAGCCTTTATACACTGTTGGCGGTGCTGCAAAATGGTGCAACCACTGTAGACAACAATATGATCCTTCATTAAAAAGTTAGAAATAGAAATACCATATGACCCAGCAATCCTTCTATTTAATATATATCCTAGACAAATAAGAGCCACAACACAAATAAATATATGCACACTCATGTTCAGTGTAGCACTATTCACAATAGCAAAAAATGGAAACAACCTAAATGCCCATCAATGGAAGAACAGATGAACTATGGTACATACACACAATGTAATACTATGCAAAGTTAACAATGATGAATCTGTGGAACACCTAATAACATGGATGAACCTGACATTATGCTGAGTGCAATTAGTCACAAAAGGACAAATATTGTAGGAGATCACATTGTAAAAAGTCAAGAGAAGGTTTTCACACTAAAACAAACATTGCTTGATGGTTACCAGGGGTGGGAGGGGCAGGGAGGAGAAATACTGGCTAGAGGATAATGTGTTAACTTGGGTGAAAGGGAAGGCAATATACAGTTAAGAGAGAGGTCAGCCAAAAATAATGGAAGCAGGGGAAGACCCTGGGAGGAGTGCAAGAGTTAAAAGGCAACAGAGGAAAATACTGTTATATACAGAGTCCTATAACAATGGGGAATCTATAAGTAGATGCTTGGATAGATATGCAGGCTAAATGGGTGTGGAGGGAGAGTGGAAATATACACAGGAATATACATAGGATATTTGTACATGGTATTTACCTTTGCTGCAAAAATATCCCTGAATGTGGTTGAGCATACAGGGGACAAATTTATGAAAACTTCTTAGACATAACTAAACTCCTTGAGGCAATGAATCACCGGACTAGACCTGAGGACTTAGGCCCATAGCTCGGAGAACACCAAGAACAATTGGCATCACATAGTCCACAGAGACAATGTTCTACATTCTACTTTGGTGAGTAGAAACTGACGTTTTAAAAGCTTCTGAGCAGCCAATTAAGATGTAACTATTGTTCTCTACCTGCCCGGAGGAAAGAAAAGTGATGAAAATTTGAAAATTGTAGACACATGGAAACAATTAGTCCAAAGAACTAAGGGACCACTCAGACATCAGCTTCCGTGACCCTGAGACCAGAAGCACTAGATGGTGTCCACTACCAACTGCTCTGAAAGGGATCACATGAGAAGGTCCCGGATAGAGTGGGAGAAAAACGTGGATCAAAACTCAAAATTGTATAAAAGACCAGGCTTACTTGTCTGATAAAGACTGGTAGAACACGGAAACTGTAACCCTTAGCGACCCTTAAGGTCTGGAAATGGACTTACCCTCATGGCTCAATTTTAGCCAAACAATAGACTGTTCTGTAAGGGGAACAATAGTGGTAGAAAGGTACACACCGCTAATAAAAATTGAAAGAAGAAAGAACTACATGTTAATTATTTTTAAATTTCCACTTCAAGAAAAATTTTCTCTCTTGGATAAAAGAGCATGTGCCATTTACTTTTACTGGTTAAACAAATATATAACTTATTTATTCCTGTTCTTGACCATGAAGCTTATAGCCAAATTTAATGCTTTATTTAAAAAGGCTATACAAGTCTAGGAGCTCTGGTAGCGTAGTGGTTACGAATCGGGCTGTGAACCTTAAGGTCAGCGGTTCAAAACTACCAGCCGCTCCGCGGGAGAAAGATGAGGCTTTCTACTCCCGTAAAGATTTACACCCTCGGAAACCCTGTACAGGGTCGCTATGGGTCGGAACCGACTCAACGGCACTTAACAACAACAACAACAATACAAGTCTAGGGTTTGATAAAACTCATCAAACTTTCTTTTTAAAATTACGTATTTCTTTCTTTCTCAGCTTTCTTTTTAAAGTTTAATAGCATTACTAAAAAGTCGTTTATTTAAAAAATATTCTTTGAAAATAGGTACATTATAAATACTCTGTAAACTATATAGTCTTTCTCTTAAAATTCTGTATAAATCCAGTGAAATTTTTAATTTCAGGTGCCGTTAGCAGACGAAAAGTATTCCCCTACAGGATGCCATTAGATCTGGTTCCCAAAACAAGAGTCAAAAGGATTGTGAGTGTAAAAGGTAAAACTAATAACATTTGTATTGGACACTTCACTCTCTGCTTCAAAAAAAAAAAAAACATCTAATAGACTCATGATGATTCTATTTTTCTGCTTCCCTGCTCAGTGTTGCTATTAAATGCTTTCGAGTCAGTTCTGATTCATAGAAATCTTATATACGGTTTCTAAGGAGTGGCTGGTGGGTTTGAACCACCAGCCTTGTGGTTAGCAGTCCAGAGCTGTTTCTACAACACCACACCAGGAGTCCTCCCTGCTCAGTAGCATACAAAAAGGAGCAGTGGATAGGTTTGAACCCCTGACCTTGTAGTTAGCAGTCTACAGTTTATCTTACAGCACCATTACAGGACTTCACTAGCCTGGTTTAAATGGAGATTTGTTCTCCCATGATGGAAAATGGTGTCTTCCATTGGTCCAAAGACTTCTAAAATGGATGATACTGCTGCTCCTAGATTTAAAGAACATTCCATGGTCTTAGTGGCCAGTCCTACTCCAGAAAAGGCTTTATGACCTATCAACAGCCCCAAGCAAGCAGAACTACTGTGCTTAAATACCAGTTCCAAAGAGGTCTCTCTCTCTCTCTGGAGTATAGTTACAATACTGTTATCTTTGGCAGGTTTTCCTTCATCTCTGACTTTTACAATTCAATAACATATCATCAAAATGCTGGAATATGCTAACTGCATTTTACTTTTGATAAAACCTTGGAATTACAGAATGTTAGTGTTATAGGATGACTTTTTAATCATGTCATGGATATACAAGAAAGTAATTTGCCAAGTATTACACAAGGTAAAGTCAGAGTCATTGCAGAGTCATATTACAAGTTAACGTCTGAGTTATTACAGCATTTCTAGTTCTGGCTCTGCTTTGCTTTATGCAAGAGAGACATTAATGTATTTTACAGTTTGTCCTGGTGTGGCGCTGTAGGATAAGCACTGTACTGCAAGGTTTGTTTGAACTGCAAAGTTGGCGGTTCAGACTCACAAGCTGCTCCTTGGAAACCTTATACAGGGTTGCTATGAGTCAGAACTGACTTGATGGCACCTAACAACACAACAACACAGCTATCAAGTTGAATGACAACCAATTTGTCAAATGCTTTATGCAGCAATCTGTCTACTGTATTACTCAATCTTATCACCATAGTGCACAGATATCTTAAAGCTTTCCTTTGGTGTTTCTTTTAAATCTATGTTCCTAACTAGTTCTTTTTCTCTCGTCCCAGTTCTGAGAAGTAATTCAACCCTAAATAAGAATGGGAGACTATAGATAGGTATGATCCTCTCTTGAGAAGATCATGTGCCTCAGTTAAAAATTAATGGAAAGTGGTTGTGACTACTCTGATTCCTTTTTGTTACAGGACAACTTATAGGTGAGGTCATGTCTACAGTTCTGAGTCAGGAAGGCATCAACATCCTAACCCATCTTCCGAAGGGAAATGCAGAGGCAGAGTTGATGAGCATTGTCCCAGTATTCTACGTCTTTCACTATCTGGAGGCAGGAAATAATTGGGATACTTTTTATCTTAACCCACATAGTGAAAAACAAAAGCTGAAGAAGAAATTAAAAGAAGGTAAAACATTTATCTCACATATTTTACGTGAAATTATAGTGAGTTTTAACTTATGTTTGAACAAAATCTATAATTATGCTGTTATGGATTATATTAAGGCTTAATTGAAAAAGCATTTTAGCAAAAAAAAAAAAAAAACCCACACATATATAGATATATATCTCATAAGGTGGCCTCTACTATATAAACACTTCTTGTGTAGCATTTTGACTTAACGTAATCAAAATGCCTGGATAAGAGACAAGACACCTGCATTCCAAACTTTACAGTGTACTTCCTTCCTTCTTGAACGAGACCAGAATGTTCTACTTGATTAATTTCCAATTGAAAACATTCATGAAATTCCTTTGAGATGCTCAATGTTGGTCGCAGAGCAATATTGGCCACACAGAACTACCCAACACCAAAAGAAGTTTACTGTTTCCAAGGGCAAATGAAGAGTTCTTTAAGTAGAGACAGAGGTCAGTGAAGCTCTGTGTTCTTTTTCTGGTGTCTCCTAGGGATGATGAGCATCATGTCATACAGAAACCCTGACTATTCTTACAGCATGTGGAAGGGTGCAAACTCTAGCACTTGGTAAGTGGAAGATTGTGACTTGTATTTTCATATAGTAGTTGTTATCTAGAGATCTACTAATTATTAAAATTAACTATAGAATAACAACAATATGGAAGCTCTAGTCCTCCAGTTACGCAGACGAAAAGCCTAGTCATCCTTCACTCTTTCAAATCTCATCTGATTTGGCAAATATTTTTGCCTGTATACTCAAAATATATCCCAGATGTGGTGACTTCTCACCAACCATTACCATAATAATCTTGGTCTAATGCACTATCATCTGTCACCTGGATTATTGCGATTGCCTCCTCTGGTCTTTCTGCTTCTGCCTATACTTGTTCCTCTTTAGTCTATACTCAGCACAGCACCCAAAGTGACCCTGTTGAAAACTAAGTTGGATCATGACATTCAAAACCTTCAGGTGTGCCCAGTGAAGGAGGCTTCCTGCGAAGCCTCTGCAATACATAAGACTATAGATGGAAGCCTGAACCACATCCAGCATCTTCAGAGATGGGAAATTTCCACTTGAAAGGACAAGCAGACCAGCCTCGAGTGGCTAGAAGAATAGAAGATACTTCTTGAAAGAAAGACCTATGGGAAAATACAAAACAATATAGGCAGACTGACTGTTACTACAAGAACAAGCAAGTTGCTTGCCCAGGAGACATCAAGGCAAGTAGTCAGGTCCCCTCAGTGCAAACCTCCTTCCAAGACTAAGACTCAATGGGAATACATGCTCTGATTGGTGACCACATTCATCATCGATAAGGGGAAGTGAGGGAAAAACAGCAATGAAGCTGCAAGCTAAGCCCTACATCATTCAATAGACTCCTGTGAACCTAGTGGAGACCTAGTTGGCCAGCAGTGTGGCAAGACCTGGGGACTCTTGGGCCCAGAGTCAGTGACATAGCCACAGAGGACTAGAGTGGAGAGTGAAGTGTCCAGCTGATAAGAAGAGAGGGCATATGCACAAGAACACTCACACTTGCAGATCATACCCACTTGACCTGGCTTCAATGACTGGATGATCAGAGCTCAACTAGAAGAAGAAAGAAGAGGAAAAAAAGAGTAATCTGATACAATTTGATGAACTTGATCTACACCTATGGATGCAGTAGCTCAAAAGAGGGAACAACTCTTTACAGCAAGGATCATTCCCACCCCCTCCATACACAGTATAGACAGGAATTGGCAACTTGGATGTTGGCTACCCAAAATGGGGGGTCGGGGGGGTGGGATACAAAGGCAAGAAGTGACTGGCTTACAAGCTTTCAAGAGGGAACCTAGATCCAGAGGGTGTGAAGGAGGTAGAATCTCCACTGAGTAGTATCCAATCTGTCTAGGCGGGGCTGATGAAATGAAATGCGGATAGGTCTCTTGTGATACAATAGTGAATAATTGTTATCAGGACTGCTTGTGAGGGTTGGAAATGTAAAGGTAGACATTTTGTAGCAAGGAAGGGAGTGATTAACTTTTCAGTCTAGGAGCAGAGGTCCCTGGGACCATCAAGGGAGAAGAGTTGGAGAACGGGACACTACCCAGAGAAGCAGTGATGCCTGAGATGGAAGCAGAGACGATGACATGGAGAAATGGAACAGCTGGGGACTTTACACATAGAGAGGGAGAGAGGCTGTGTGCTGATGATGGGGCGGGCAGGCTTGTAGTGTATACCCTTTGGTTGGTTAAAGTCTACATAATAAGTTTTCTAATTCTGATGACTTGAAGGATACAGAATAAATTAACTAAAAGTCCATAAGGCAGTCTATTAAAAACATACACACCCAACTATCTAGCTTTTGACAAAATACTTAACCAAAAAACACAGTGTGTCAGGTGTTTTGTGGACTTCCCTACAGGAAACACATTAAAAGAATTTGCAACCTAAGATAACTTAAGTTTCGATTATGTCCTTCAACTTTGGAGAGTTACCAGGCCCTCTTACTTTCTGTAATCTCACCTTGTGCAATCTTACCTTTGCTTATGACTTCTATGCTGATGACTCCCTAGTTCACGTCTCAAGCCCTAACTTTTTTCCTAAGCTCCAGATCTATACTTCCAAGTATCTGGGAGCCAAAGACTTTCCAGTCACAATCTGGGTCAAAAGCCTTCTTTTCTTCCTCTAAGAGAATTCTCCTCTTTTCCCTTAATCAGTGCCAGCAATACTCTCCCCTTAGTTCCCTTTTGACCAAGTCAAACTTGTTACTTAGTTTATTGCTTCGCCCTTTCCTTTGGCATTCTATCCCACCAGTCAACGAGTCCCCAGATTGTTCCTTAGAAGTAGGTCTATCATCTGTGTTCATGTATGGGTGGCACATTTTAAAAGACACATAGAACCCTGGAGCATGCCAACCAGAGTATAACAATCAGGATGCAGGGAAGGGGTGGGTGTGGATGCAGACAAGAAACTGCCACAATAGAAACTGAGGAGAAATGTCTGGGAAACAGAATCCCTTCTCTGAGGATAAATGTCTGGAAAACAGAATCCCTTCTCTGCCACAAAAAGGAACGAAAATGATAGCTTCTCAGAGTCCTTTAAGAGTTTGGGGGAAAGACAGTTCTGCTCAGGCACTGGTATAGCGAAGAAGCCCAGGCAAGACGCTGAAGCCCCGAGGGTAGTGGAGGCACTGAGGTGACAAGTGCAGCCCTTGGAAGAATTCCTGCTGCTCCATGAACATCAGCCAGGAAGCCCACAAGGATGTTTTGTATCTGTACAGATTCAACTGGGACCACTATGGAAAGATGCATGCTGAGTGCAAGCGGCACTTCATCCAGGACACCTGCTTTCACAAGTACTCCCCCAACTTGGGGCCCTGGATCCAACAGGTGGACCAGAGCTGGTGCAAACAGTGGATCCTGGATGTGCCCCTGTGCAAAGAGGATTGTCAGCACTGGTGGGAGGACTGCCGTACCCAAGACCAAATGGCACAAGGGCTGGAATTGGACCTCAGGACACAACCAGTGCCCAGTAGGAACTACTTGCAGGTGCTTTGATTTTTACTTCCCCACACCTGCTGCCATGTGCAATGAAATCTGGAGTCTCCTACAAGACCAGCAACTACAACCATGGGAGTGGCTGCTTCATGCAAATGTGGTTTGACCCTGCCCAGGGCAACCCCAATGAGAAGGTGGCAGAATTCAATGCTGAGGCCACTAAGTAGGGCTGAGATCCACTAGGTCCTGGCCTGTCCTCTCCTGCTCAGCCAGGTCCTGCTGTTCTGGCTGCTCAGCTGATCCCTTCTACCTTCTGATACCTGGACATCACAGCCCTGCTCAGCCCCAGAGCACCCAGTATTCAGTTTGAACTCCATAGTACGGCCCTCTGAATACCAGTTTAAATTAACAGACACCCACACACAAAAAAAAGAGTTTGGGGGAAACACTGAGTGGATTGTGTTCAATCAGAAACATAAAAATACTTGAGTACTCTTCTAGATCCAATTTGGCAAATCCCTTGAGATATACACAAAAGAAAACTGCTGATGTCCAATGGATCTTGGTTGAAAGCAGAGAATACCAGAAAGATGTTTACCTGTACTTTATTGACTATGCAAAGGTTTTTGATTGCATGGATAATGAAAAACTATGGACAACATTGCAAAGGATGAGTATTCTGGAACACTTCAATGTGCTCGTGAGGAATCTGTACATGAACAAAGAGGCAGGTGTTCAAACAGAACATGGGAACACAGAATGGTTTAAAATTAAGAAAGGTGTACAACAGGGTTGTATTCTTTCACCATACTTATTCAACCTGTATGCTCTGCAAAGAATCCGAGAAGCTAGTTTATATGAAGAAAAACGTGGTATCAGGATTGGAGGAAGACTCATTAACAACTTGCGATATGCAGATGATACAACCTTGCTTGCTGAAAGTGAAGAAGACTTAAAATATTTACTGATGAAGATCAAAGAGCACAGCCTTCAGCATGGATTACATCGCAATGTAAAGAAAACAAAAATCCTCACCACTGGACCAATAAACAACATTCTTATCAACAGAGAAAAGATTGAAGTTGTCAAGGACTTCATTCTTATTGGATCAACCATCAACACTCATGGAAGCAACAGTCAAGAAATCAAATGACATATTGCATTAGGCAAATCTGTTGCACACGACCTTTTTAAAGCGTTGAAGAGCAAAGATATCAGCTTCAGGACTAAGGTGTGCCTGACCCAAGCCATGGTATTTTCAGTAACATTATATGCATCTGAAAGCTGGACAGTGAATAAGAAAGACCATAGAAGAATTGATGCATTTGAGTTATGGTTTTGGAGGAGAATATTGAAAGTACTATGGGCTGCCAAAAGAACCAACAGATCTGTGTTGGACGAAGTACAGCCAGAGTGCTCCTTGGAGGCCAGGATAGGCAAACTTTGTCTCTCATACTTTGGACATACTGTCAGGAGGAACCAGTAACTGGAGAAGGATATCATGTTTGGCAAAGTGGAGGGTCAGAGAAAAAGAGGAAGACCCCAGCGAGATGGATTGGCAAAGTGGCAGCATCAATGGATTCAAGTGTGGCAACAATAGGGAGGATGGCCCAGGACCAGGCAGTGTTTCATTCTGTAGTGCATAGGGTCACTATGAGTCGGTACAGACTCGATGGAACCTAACAACAACAACAAAAGGAAATGGCCAGCACATAAATAGACTTAAATTTTTTTGAGAACTGTGGGGAAAATGGGGTTCCTGGTGTGGTGCTGTAGGATAGGCACTGCACTGCAAACCGCAAGGTTGGTATTTCAAACCCACCAGCTGCTCATTGGAAACCCTATATAGGGTCGCTATGAGTCGGAAGGATTTGATGGCACTTAACAACAACAGGAGTCCTGGTGTGGCGCTGTGGGTTAATGCGCTGATCTGCAAAGTCGGTTGAACCTAAAAGTTGGCGGTTCAAACTTACCAGTTGCTCATCGGAAACCCTAGACAGGGTCGCTATGGGTCGGAACTGATTTGATGGCATTTCACAACAACACAATTCACAACAACAACAAATAGAGAAGATGCAAAAAAAAAAAAAAAGTACAAACAAATGTTATCCATATTAACGAAACCCAAAATTAATAACTGTGGACATTTTTCATCTTAGCTTAGTCTTTTTTTGTTTTTTAAAGTAAGAAAACAGTACAGCTGAAGTTTCCCTGTAGCTGCAAGTCTCTATCTTATTCCTGTTTCCCCTTCCACAAGGGCACTCACTCTTATGAGTTTATGCATCCTTGTAGGGTGAAAGAAGATTTCTCTTATTATATACGCTTTTATGCTTTGAGATTAGAAGAAATTTGTTTAATTTTTGGTGTTGTTGAAAATACAGCAAAAATACCAATTCAACCATTTTTGCATGTACAATTCTGTGACATTGATTATATTTTTCAAGTTGTACAACCATTCTCATATCCTTTTCCAAATTGTTCCTTCTCCATTAATAGAAATTCTCAGTCCCTAAGCTTCCCATCTAACCTTTTGAGTTGCTGCTATCAATTTGATCTTATTGAGATCATTCTATAAAAGAGCACAACACTCCAGGCAGACATTCTTTACTAACTGTACTAGATTATTGTTTGGTTTCAACAGGATTTCAAGGGACATTTTTTGTTTCAGGTTTAAAGATTACCTCAGGGCAATAATTTTGGCAGTCCATCCACTCTGGCCTCTTTTGAATTTTGAATCATAGTAATGTTTTTCCTCTGAAAATAACTAACTTATAAAAATGAAAACAAAAATAAAAAGAATTTTGAAAGCGAGGTGAAGTGGAGGAAAGCAGGGGAAAAGCAAAGTGAACTGATCTCTTAGGAAGTCTGGATTATGAGTTCTTGGGACTCTGAAATGGGTGAGAGGACAGGAGAGGGATAGAGGTATAAGAGGCACTGTTGTTATTGCTTTTGAGTTACGGTGTTGGAGGAGAATATTGAAAGTGCCATGTGCTGCCAAAAGAACCAATAGATTCGTTTTGGAAGAAGTGTAGCCAGAGTGCTCCTTGGAGGCCAAGATGACCAAATTTCGTCTCTCATACTTCAGACATATTGTCAGGAGGGACCAGTCACTGGAGAAGGATATCATGTTTGGTAAGATGGAGGGTCAGAGAAAAAGAGGAAGACTCCCAATGAGATGGATTGGGCCAAGTGGCAGCATCAATGGACTCAAGCATGGCAACAGTAGTGAGGTTGGCTCAGGATTGGGCAGTGTTTCGTTCTGTTGTACATAAGGTCGCTATGAGTCGGTACTGACTTGATGGTACCTAATAACAACAACAAATGTTAAGTGCAGTCGCGTCAAGTTCGACCCATAGCAACCCTGTATAGGGTTTCCAAGTAGCAGCTGGTGAGCAACTACCAACCATGCAGTTCAAACAACTTTGCAGTCTGACTCATTAGCCCACAGTGCCACACCAGGACTCCCTGTGGGGACTAGGAATTGGGTCCTCTTTGACATCTAAGAGACATTTATAGAAATTTAAATATTCATTTTAGGATATTCATAGAGAATCATAGAAATCAAAATACCTTTGTTGACTAATCATGATCATTAAAGCTGCCTTCTATGGAGACAAGTTTCCTGCAGTGGTATCATTAAAGCAGCAGCCAGATAAATACTCTCAAGTATTCTTGGGAAGAGAATTCATGGATCCACAAGGGATTTGGATTAGATGACCTTTACAAATCTTGCAAGCTTCCTAGATTTTACTCTTCCATGTTTCATCCTGTTTACTGAATCAGTAAATATCTATTTCATACACATTAAGGGCCTGTGCCTTAACAACTTGAAGCTGTTTGTTACACCTCTCTTATTTTCAGGTTTAGATGTTAGGATCTAACCATTAGGAATCAGTTTCTAGTTGTGTGCTGTCTTTATCACAGACGATGTAGATGTGCTGTACACATTTATTGAATGACCGCTTCAGAGATCTTCCCCCAAATTTTCCTTCTCTTATAAAATGACAATGACTTACTTTGCAATTATATGTTTTAAAATGTTACTTTCTTTTTGAAAAATAAACTTTGTATGGACTAAAGCCCCTTGTAACTACAATCCAAGAGAGATTCAATCTAAATATTTATTTATTTGACTTTTGTTTTAAAGGTTAACAGCTTTTGCTTTGAGAATACTTGGGCAAGTAAATAAATATATAAATCAGAACCAAAATTCAATTTGCAATACTTTATTGTGGCTGATTGAGAAATGTCAATTAGAAAATGGATCTTTTGAGGAGAAGTCCCAGTATCACCCAGTAAAATTACAGGTAAGGAAATCAAATGTACAGATCAGTGATAGTTCTAGTTATACATTTGAATTTAGTTCTTCCTATTTGGGGAAGATGAAGAAGAGTTGTTGTTGTCATATTTGTTGTTGTTAAGTGTCATTGAGTCAGTTCTGACTCATAAAGACCCTGTATAAGGTTTCAGAGGCTTTGAAAATCTTTGTTGGTGCAGAAAGCTTCATCTTTCTCCCACAGAGCAACTGGTGGCTTCGAACTGCCGACCTTGTGGTTCAAAGTGTAGTGCAGATAGGTCAGATAGAATGTTATCTTGTTGGTAGTGGTGGTGTGTGCCAAGTTGGTTGTGACTCATAGCAACCTTATATAGTGTTTTTGAGGCTGTAAATCTTGACAGCAGCAGAAAGCATTATCTTTCTGCTGCAAAGCAGCAAATGGATTCGAATTGCTGTCCTTACTGGTTAGCAGCCCAATGCATAACCACTACGCTACTAGAGATCCAGAAGGATCTCTTAGACATCTCATATAATGTCATTTGTGGTTCAGAGGGGATAAATACTAGAGATCTGAATATAAGTAAAATGTACTAATTTGTACTCGGTACAAGGAGCTCTGGTAGCATAGTGGATTACAAGTTGAGCTGCTAATTACAAGGTCTGCAGTTGGAAACTACCAGTCACTCTTCTGGAGAAAGAGAAGACTTTCTGCTCCTGTAAAGATTTACAGCTTCGAAAACCCTATACAGGGTTGCTATGATTCAGAACCGACTCCACAGGCCCTAGTGTAGGATAAGCACTGTAGGATAAGCACTGGACTCCTGATTGCGCTAACTGCAGTATCAGTAGTTCAAACCTACAAGCCTCTCTCAGAAACCCTATACTGGGTCACTACGAGCCCGAACTGACAGTACACAATAACACTTTTGGTATAGAATCAGTACATATTGTGGAAAGCCTTCTGAAAGGCCAAAGTTACACGGTGTTCTCATGAAAGATGATTGTTGTTGTTATACCCTGTTCGTATGAGAGAATGAAGTCAATTTCTTTTTAAAGTACAATAAAGAGTTACTGGAGAATCTAGTAACAAGATTTAATTACAAAGTAATTACAGGATTTCCATGTCCTTCTAGTCTTTAGAATGCTTCGTTAGGATCCAAAAGGATCTTTCATTTTATTAATTTTTGCCAGCCCCAATCAAATCCCTTTCGTGTCAGGCACGCGTGACCACCATTGCTAAAAGTGGGTCTCATGAAGGACACACATCAGTAGTGTCTTCTGTTGCATCAGTAGCAGATTAGGACTCCCATAACAAATATGGGCAAAAGGCATCATATAGGTGCTAGCTCAAGAAATAAAATAATAATTTTTTTTCTTAAAGACACCCATCTATCCATTCAACAACCATTCACTAAGCACCTAGTACATGCAAGGGCCTATTCTGGGCATGGTGGGCAGGGCAACGATGGATTAGACAGTAAGTATCCCTACCACAAAGAACTCGCACACTGGTAGGTATAAATGTTAGCATTACCACTCGCAACTCTAATAAAGATACATATGTGTGTGTTCATGTAGTTATCTGGTAAGTATCTATTGAATAGGCACTAAGTGTGTGCTAGGGACACATGGTGGGGGGAAAACAGGTGTGGTCAATGCAGTTGTAGAATTTACAATCTAGCAGGAAGTGAAATATTGAGCAGCAGGTCATTTCAGATGTGTGAAGCATGTTAAGAAAAGGAAAATATGGTTGCATTGAAAGCAGGGGATCTAATCTAGATTGTGAGGGCTGGAAAAATGCATTGATGGGGCTTCTGAGAGACAGATGGGGGGAGGCAGAAAGAGTGTTCCAAGTGGAGCAAACAGCATGTCTGGCATTTTGAAGTGGAGAGAGTGTGGTTCATTCAAAGAACTGGGATCAAGAGAACTAAGGGGTGAGTGGCATGAAATGAAGCTGGAAGGTAAATAGAGGCCACTTTGTGGAGAGCTTTGTAAGCATTGCTTTGCAATAGCATTGCCATAAAAGGAAAAGAATATTTGGAGACCAAATATTGCTTCATAGAGGAGGCGGCATGTTAAAAAGATCTTGAAGAAGGGGGCAGATTTGAAAAGGATGAAGAGGTCTGAAGTAGGGCTAGGAGAGGGAGCCCATGAAAGCTTAAAAGTGAGAAAGACCTACGGGTGCTCATCTGAGAAACAGCAGTGCGTGAAGGGGAAGAGTGGGAGACAAGGTTTGGAAAGGAGAATACAACCACGTCATTTCACTTTAAAGAAAGTTTCACTCTGCTTTTTAACATTGCTTATTTTTAGGGTACCTTGCCTATTGAAATCCAACAGAACACCCTATATCTTACAGCCTTCACTGTTATTGGAATTAGAAAGGCTTTTGATATATGCCCCCTGGTGGTAAGTAAAAAATTTTCTTTCTCTAACACCCATCATCTACTTCCGGGGGTACTAGTCAGAAAGTGTTTAGTTTCCAAAGTTTTTTTGCCCCCGTCTTTTCAAATTTCTTTAAAAAAAAACAAAACAAAACTCTAGATGTAGAATCAAAGGATTTCATAACTATGATAGTAATTAGAGATAAACCTGCTCATTGATAATTGGGGAAACTGAGGTTTACAAGTAAGGTGAATTTAATTGCTCAGTGTTACAGGCATGTTGCATGTTACATGGACTGTTGTTGTTGTTAAGTGCCGTCAAGTTGGTTCCAATTCATAGAGACCCTGTATAAGGGTTCTGAGGAACAATGGTGAGTTTGAACCGGTGATGCTGCTATTCAAACTGACCTTGAGGTCCAGTGTATTATACTACAGCTCCACACCAGGACTCCGGAACTGGTACTAGAGTTGACTAAATCTGACGCTTATTTGTGGGAGAATGGTCTAGTGTTCTCAGCACCCTTGTCTTATCTCTGCTAAGTTTTATTCTATGTCTGTTACTATTACTCCATAGTTGAGTCACTCTGAATTATGAAACTACTGAGGACATATATTAGCAAGTTTGCTTCACTGCATTGTGCTGTTTGTTTGGGAGCTGAGGGGAGAATGGAGAGAATTTACAACATAGAAGATTCCAAAATATAATGGAGACAAACCATCATCTGGGAAGAGTTAAACATCTGAGCTGAGGTTCAATACATTGTTGCACTCTGTAAAGTCCATTTTGTCTCATAGTGACACTATAGAACAGAGTAGAACTGCTCCAATTGGGTTTTCTAGGCTGAATTTTTTTCAGGAGTAGGTCACCAGGTCTTTTCTCCCATGGAGCAGCTGGTAGGTTTGCACCTTGAACCTTTCAGTTGGCAGCCAAGAAACTAACCATCCATCAAACCTCCGGGTCTCCTACTTACCAATCAGAAGTAATTAGACATGTCCTTCAAACCAAGAAACAGAACTGAGACTTGTAGCACTTGAATCACAAAACAAAACAATTTTTGTGTGTTCATACTTAGAAGACAAGCGAGTCAAAGAGAACCAGGTCCTGGGGGCTAGAGAACCACATGATTGAGAGACACAGAGCTGGAAGAGAAGGATCCAGACGAGATACTTGCCTGAAGCTTCCTTCTAAGTCACTTATCCAAAAATATTCCTAAATATCTCAGAACAGAGAAATAAGGACTGCTTTTCTTGGAGTTCTTAGGGTCAAAAAGTACTTTGGCAGCTTGACTTTCTTACAGCTATTTATGCTATTTTTTAGAAAAGCTCATTTGGATGTGGTGAGCCTGTCTCAGCTTTGCAGAGGGTGGGTGATGGAAACTGGTCTGTGCTCAGTGTTTTATCTTCCTAGAAGCTAGGTGTGATGTTGGAAGCAGAAATTAAAGGGAGAGAAACCTCTAAAGGGGAGGTGAGACTGCTGAGACAAAAGCTTCACCCTCTTTGGATAATCACACTTTCCCTTCAGAGATCACACTCTGGCTCTTTCTTTGGAAGCTTGTGTTTCAGTGAGATGCCATTACCATTAGGTTGGTCCTCTTCCTCCCACTCACCTTGCTACTCTGTGATTGTGTAATCTATGGGGAGTTTGTGACAACTGGTAGGATGGTATTTGCCAAGGAAACTTAAGCTTCTTCTGCTCTTGTTTCCAGAAAATCAGCACAGCTCTTAATAAAGCTGATTCCTTTTTGCTGGAAAATACCCTCCCAGCCCAAAGCACCTACACACTGGCCATTGCTGCATATGCTCTTTCCCTGGGAGATTCAGCACACAGACAATTTCGTGTAATTTTTAATGCCCTGAAGAAGGAAGCTTTCATGAAAGGTATGACTTCATCCATACATTTTTTGAGCAAGCCATCACCAAGCACATATTGTTGTTGTTATTAAGTGCCATAGAGTTGATTCCAACTCATAGCAAACCTGTATAGGGTTTCCATGGAGTCACTGGTGGGTTTCAACCACCAACTTTGTGGTTAGAAGTCCAGTGTTTATCCTACAGTACCACATGAAGACTCCATATTGTTGTTGTTGTCTTATAATTTCGAGAAGGGGTTGATGTTTATGGGCCATTGAGTTGATCCCAACTCATAGCAACCCTGTAAAGGGTATTTGAAGTTCTAAATCTTTTACAGGAACAGAAAGCCGCATCTTTCTCCTGTGGGATGGCAGGGAGATTCAAACTGATGACCCTGTGATTAGCAGCCCAACTTGTAACCCACTAAGCTACCAGCGCTTCTTGGGAAGGGGATGGTGGCATGCACAGTACCTCCCTTCCAGAAGCACTTAGGTCAAGACTGCTATAAACAGAGCATCATAATACGTCGGAATAACTGCCTGTGTGCATTCATTTTTTTTTTCAGGAAAAATTTGTTCATTTCTTTATTCAGTGAATATATATTGCGCACTTTGTGTATACCAAACATTGTTCTAAACTTGGGTGTTAAGTCAAGAAGCAAAATAAGCCCCCCTCCCCCCCAAAAAAAACCTTACATTCAATTGTTGGTAAGTGCCATCAAGTTAGTTTCAACTCATAGCGACCCTGTATAGGGTTTCTAAGGAATGGCTGGTGAATTTGAACTGCTGACCTTGCGGTTCAAACCGACCTTTCAGTCCAGTGCATCATCTCACAGGACCACACCAGGATACCTTACATTCAATTTTGTTGTTGTTATGAAGTGCTGTCGAGTTGGTTCCGACCCATAGCAACCCTGTATAGGGTTTCTGAGGAGCAGCTGGTGAACTTAAACCACTGACCTTGCAGTTCAAACAGCTCTGCAGTCTGGCGCATTAGCCCACAGAGCCACACCAGGATTCCTACATTCAATTAGATATAGGCAAATAAGTTAAATAAATAAACCACAGTATATAGAGAATAAGCTTGCAATGATTTCTGGTTAGGTGACGTTGAGTCCGTTCTAACTCATAGCCTGTGAATAGGGTTCCCCCGGAACAAAAAGCCTCACCTCTCTCCCATGGAGCAGCTGGTGAGTTTGAACTGCAGACCTTGTGGTTCGCAGTCCAGTGAGTATCCTACAGCCTTGCCAGTGCTTTCTGCAGCAACTGATATGAAAAAGGGAGCTAGGACAAATGATGGAGGAGCTGATTTTAGATAGGATGGGAAACTATCACTAAGAAGACTGTATTTGAGTCCAGACCTGAGGACAATGAGGAAGCCAGCCCAGGAAGAATAAATAGTGTTCCAGGTGAGAAAGCCCATCCAAATGCCCTGAGGCAGGAGTATGCCTAATACTTCAAGAATGGCAAGGAGTAAGCTGAGGGGTAAGAACCGAGGTCAGGAAGGTAAGGATGAGGAACTGAGAAGGGCTTTTGCAAGGCCTTAGCAGTCATTACAGGGACTCTACAGAGCTACTGTAAGGAACTCTAGTAGCATAGTGGTTACAAATCAGGCTGCGAACCACAAGGTCAGCAGTTTGAAACTATCAGCTGCTCCGTGGGAGAAAGATGAGGCTTTCTGCTCCCGTAAAGATCAACAGCCTCAGAAACCCTGTTCAGGATCGCTATGGGTCGGAACCGACTTGACGGCACTTAACAACAACAACAGATCTACTGTGGACAGTTGTACAATGTACATGGCAGCTAAGCAAGCAAGTAAAAGAAGCTGAAATGCAGCCCATGCTCCACTCACCCAGTCGTGTACCCTGGTTAGGGCTGCTTCCACCCAGAGCAAGAGGTGCCTGTCTCTCACTCACCTAAAGGTGCTCAAAGGGTCAGAGGGAACCCTGGAACTTTGGCTTCTACTTCGAGGGACTTTCCATGTTGACCTTTTTAAATAAAGGCAAAAAGCACTGTATAGAGAATCTTGTTTTGTGTTGGTTACCCTGAGGAAGTTACAAAAAACACAACATTTCTAGAAACCTGAAGGTTATAATATACCTATTAGAATTGTTATGTCAAATACACATTTTAAATCAGGTTAACAAATATGATTTGTTAATGTTCAGGCAATCCACCCAATTATCGATTTTGGAGAGGTGATCTTAAGGCCAAAGACAGTTCTATACCTGACACCAGTACTGCCAATATGGTAGAAACCACTGCCTATGCTCTACTCACCAGCCTGGGCATGAAAGAAATTAATTACGTTAACCCAATCATCAAGTGGTTATCTGAAGAACAGAGGTACGGAGGAGGCTTTTATTCTACCCAGGTAACATTTCTTTGCCTTGTTCATCTGTAGATGTTTTTACTATCTCCTACACTACATATTCTACACTCATTCTAACTTCTGTGTTCTTGTCCATCAAATGAACATACCAGGCATAGGAATTAATGCTTAGACTTGAAGGACCCTTAGAGGTTATCTACACTGACACCTCATTCATTATACAGAGAAAGGAATAAAGCCCAGGAAGGTTCATTCAGGGTTTAGTGGTAGAGCCAACACCAGAACTCACATTTCCTGTCTCTAGCCCAGTACTTGTTTTATGATTCTCAGTGATTATAAGATTCCAGCAATTATGTCACATTCTACATAATAAACAGTGGCTGCCATGTAGACAAAGTTATAGGTGTTGACTCCACATAAAAATAAGTAAAGCAAAAGTGAGGACTACATATCATTGTTTCACTATCATCTATATACCAAGGCAAATTTATTTATGTGTATTTTATCCTATAACACCTATTATGTGTAATTGTATAATTGTTGTTGTTAAGTGCTGTTGAGTCAGTTCTGACCCAAAGTGACCCTGTATAAGATTTCCAAGGATTGGCAGGTGAGCTTGAACCACCAACCTTGCAGTTCAAACCAACTTTGCAGTCCAGCGCATTAACCCACAGCACCACGCCAGGACTCCAATTGTATAATACACATCTATATTTTAAATTTAGCTCAAATGTGAATATCTTTCCTGTTTTCTGGATGTATAAATTATGATGGAATATATATATATGTTGTTGTTATGTGCCGTGGAATCGGTTCCGACTCATAGCGACCCTGTACAGGGTTTCTGAGGCTGTAAATCTTTACGGGAGCAGAGAGTCTCATCTTTCTCCCGTGGAACAGCTGGTAGTTTCTAACTGCTGACCCTGAGGTTCGCAGCCCGATTCGTAACCACTATGCTACCAGAGCTCCTTATATATATATATTCCATCATATAATATATATTCCATCATATAATATATATATTCCATCGTATAATATATATATTCCATCGCATAATTTCTATATTCCATCATATAATTCTATATTCCATTGTGTAATATCTATATCCCATCATATAATCTATAGTCCATCGTATAATATCTATATACCATCATATAACATCTATATTCTATCGTATAATATCTATATTTCATCATATAACATCTATATTCCATCATATAATATATATATGTTCCATCATATAATATCTATATTCCATCATATAATATCTATATTCTATTGTATGATATATATATTCCATCATATTATATATACATTTATATCAAATTTAGAACCAGAGGGACACTTTAGGGTCTCTTTGGTGACCATCTAATCGATAAGGCCAATGGAATTCATCTTGGTACAACTGTAGGGTTTGCAGGAAAGAGCTCCTATTGGTTAGCGTTGACTGCCAAGGACCCAAGCCAGGGGCTAGCTACATATTGGTCAGCTCTGGTCCAGTCACACACTCTCATTTTATAGTTGGGAAGATGTCATTCAGAAAGATGAAGTTCATTCTTTTTTTTCCATTCAGCAAATACTTATTGACTAGTAATATGCAAAGTGCTGTAAACATAATAGGTAACAAGAAAGATCTCCTACCTACCCCCATGAATCTTACCTTACACTGAAAGAGGTCTACAATTCACTGTCTATAAAATGATTACAAATTGTGATGAATGTTGTGAAGCACAAAGGGAGAACATTACAGTAGAGAATGAAGGGAAGAGGGTCTTCCAGTGGGAATATATAAGCTGAGACCAGACAATGAGATGATAGCCCTGCCCAGAGTGACATCACTGAAGTCTCACACGCAGGCCACACTTCCAGTCCCAACGTCCTACTCCTGTGCCTTTAATCTTGTAGTCCACTAGAGTTAGCATCCTTACTAAGAAGGAGGAACCTTTCCTTCCATCTCCACCATGGAGCCCTTACCCAGTTTCAGTCAATGCTCTCATTAGAAAGGGCATTTGTAAACAGGGAGGGTATAGATAAACTAAACATGTTTTTGGGCCTTGCTGATTTTTGATAGGATACAATTAATGCCATTGAGGGCCTGACAGAATACTCACTTCTGGTGAAACAACTTCGCTTGAATATGGATATCAATATTTCTTACAAGAACAGAGGTGACATCTACCATTATAGGATGACAGAGGAAAATTCCCTTGGGAGGCCAATAGAGGTAAGTAAACAACTGAATGGGACCTTTTAAATCATCTAATTCAGCCTTTTTTTCCAAATGTATTTATTCACCACTTAAACATATATTAGTGGTAGTGGTGATTATGTGCCATAGAGTCGGTTCCACCTCATAGCGACCCTATATAGGGCTTCCAAGGGTTTAGTTTGCACTAATTTATATCAAAATGAAGGAACCCTGTTGGTGGAGTGATTAAAGACCTCAGCTGCCAACTGAAAAGTCAGTAGTTCTAACCTAGCAGCCATTCCCTTGTAAAAGATTTGGCAGTCTGCTGCCATAAGGTGACAATCTTGGAAGCTCTACTCTCTCCTATAGGGTCACTGTGAGTCACAATCAACTCAGTGGCAACAGGTTTGGTCTTGGTTTTATGGGCATAGGATCTTTAATACTTTAACCATTTAGTCTCAAAAGATCTCTGAGGGAAGAGGCTGGTAGGTGTCAGAACACTCTTCATTGTCCTGCCCCTCCTCCTTATCAATTGATAAAAAAGCATGGTTTTTCTACCCACCTTCCAGGTGCCTCTCAACGATGACCTCGTCGTCAGTACTGGATATAGCAATGGCTTGGCTACAGTACATGTAAGCGCTTCACTGAGCACAGCTTGGGAGTTACATGACTCTATACTAGGCAATGTAAAAGAAAGCTCAGGAATTACTCACAAAATCACAAAAGTAACATGTATTTATCTAACTCTTTCTAGTTATCTTCATAATTGGCCTACCAATTTCCTTTTGAAGACAGCTACGTTTGTAGGAATTACATGTGTAGATATAATTTTATATTATATGTGTATATATTTAGATACAATCTGTGTGTATATACAAGGGGGTTTCCAAAAGCCCTCTCATACATATACATATAAGTTTTTGTGGTTACTAACATTAGTCCTATTTCATTTATTCTGTATCATGGATATTGATATGTAAGGATTAAAGTTTATTTTAGCCAGTTGACATTTTCAAATTCTTCTAAACTGTTTATATAGTCCATATATTCTTAAACTGTGTTTTCTGAATATAAACAAGCATTCTATTGATTATGTTTAATTATGCTTTAAGTTTTAATACATTTATTCCTTCAAGAACATTTCATATAATTTCATGGGGCTGGGGTGGTCGTTCACTTTCCTGTCACTTCTACATGTTATCAGTATGCCTACCTCTGGTAGTACCCATGCCTATATTGTTGTTGTTGCCAAGTGCCTTCAAGTCAGTTATGACTCATAGCGATCCTATATAGTTTCCGAAAAGAAAGCTGGTGAATTTGAACTCTGTACCTTGTGGTTAGCAGTCCAGTGCTTATCCTACAGTGCCACACCAAGACTCCTGCCTACACACACCTATAATTTGTTTGTCATGCTTAAGTGTGAGCTGCAAGAAAATCATTATAAAGTTATATGTAAAATTAGAGCTATATGTAAAAATCAGTATTATGTGTAAAAATACAGACTGTAAGGTCAGCCAGGGGAGTGTTTTACAGAGTAAGGTGCTCAGACTTGCCAGTACAGAATTTGGGTCAATATTCTGCCTGTGTTGTTGTTGATGTTGCAACTGTGTTGACATTAGGTGCCGTCGCATCAGTTCTGACTTACAGCAATCCTATACACAACACAAGGAAATACTAACCAGTTCTATGCCATCTTCACAACTGATGCTATGGTTGAGCCCATTGCTGTTGTCACTGCCAATCCATTTTTGGGGATCTTCCTCTTTTTCAATGACCCTCTACTGTACCAACTATGATGTCTTTCTCTGGGACTGGTCCCTCCTCATAATATGTCCAAAGTATGAGAGACAAAGTCTGGCCATTCTGACTTCTAAGGAGCATTCTGTCTTTATTTACTTCTTTCAACACAGATTTGTTTGTTCTTCTGAGAGTTCATGGTACCTTTAATATTCTTCTCCAACACCATAACTCAAATGCATTGATTCTTCTACAGTGTTCCTTATTCACTGTCCAACTTTCACATGCATATGAGGCAATCAAAAATACCATAGCTTGAATAAAGTGCACATTAGGCTTCAAACTGACATCTTTGTTCTTGAACACTTTAAAGAGGTCTTGTACAGCATATCTGCCTAATGCAACACATCATTTGATTTCTTGATTGATGCTTTTGTGGATGTGGGTTGTGGATTCAAGCAAAATGAAGTCTTTGACAACTTCAGTCTTGTCTCAATTTATCATGATATTATTTATTGGTCCAGTTGTGAGGAATTAATTATATAATTGTCAAATTCAAAATACCAATATCAGTCCATTTCAAGTCACTAATGCCGAGGATATTGATCTTTATGCATTTCATTTAACTTTTGACAACTTACAGTTTCCATAATTCATACTTCATACATTCCATGTTCCAATTGTTAATGGATGTTGGTAGCTGTTTCTCCTCATTTTGAGTTGTGACCCATCAGCAAATGAAGGTCCCAAAACTTTATTCCATTCATGTCATCATGGTCAACTCTACTTTGAGGAGGCACCTCTTCTTCAGTCATATTTTGAGGGCCTTCCAACCTGAAGGACTCATTTTCTGGCACCATATCTGACAATGTCTGCTACTATTTATAAGGTTTTCAATGGCTAAACATTCACAGTTGTCTGCCTCTCCTTCTTCCTCGTCTGTCTTAGTCTGGAAACTCAACTGAAACCTGTATACCATGGGAAACCCTGCTGGCATTTAAAATACCTATAGCATATCTTCCAACATCACACAAACCACCACAGTACAACAAACTGACAGACAAGTGGTGGATTCTGCCTATATTTTTGCCTTGAGATTTGAGGTTCTCAGATATGTTTCAGATTGTGGAGTTTGCTGAAATCCAACCACTGATAAAAGGATCATCAATGTACACTATTTACACTGTTGTTGATAAGTACTGTGGAGTCGGTTCTGACTCATAATGACCCTGCACAGGGTTTCAAAGGCTGTAAATCTTTTGGGAGCAGAAAACCTCATCTTTCTCCTGCGGAACCACTGGCAGTTTTGAACTGCTGACCTTGAGGTTGGCAGCCCGATTCGTAACCACTACGCTACCAGAGCTCCTTACTATTTACACTGTTGCTGTTCTGTGCCGTGGAGTCGATTCTTACTCATAGCAACCCTATACAGGGTTTCCGAGGCTGTAAATCTTTACGGGAGCAGAACGCCTCATCTTTCTCCCGCGGAACAGCTGGTAGTTTTGAACTGCTGACCCTGAGGTTCGCAGCCTGATTCATAACCACTACACTACCAGAGTTCCTTACTATTTACACTAGGTTATGAAAATCATACTTTGACCATTCTATTTACTGCAGTAGTATTGTCATAATACCTCACTGTTCCACTTGAATAGAATCTTCTTTTTTACTTTTCCCATTGTAGGTAACAACTGTGGTTCACAAAACCAGTACATCTGAGGAGGTTTGTAGTTTTCATTTAAAAATTGAAACTCAGGACAATGAAGGTAAGACAGCATAATTTACACTGTAATTTTGGCTAAGAATAAAGAACGTCTGAATAGTTTACCTCATTAGGGGAAAGAAGTGTGCTTTTTCAAAACAAAATGTTTTTATCAAATTCTTAGTTATGCAAGTAAACCTCACTGCCATTTGTTATGAGTCTACTCTAATAAGAATTGTAGGCTGTTATTAAATAACTTGAGACTCCTGGTGTGGTGCTGTTGGATCAACACTGGACTGCGAACCACAAGATCAGCAGTTCAATCCCACCAGCTGCTCTTTGGAAACCCTATATAGGGTCGCTATGAGTCAGAACTGACTTGATGGCCCTTAACAACAACAACATTAAAAAACTTAATAGCTAAACGAAATGTGTTCATTATTGATCAAGAAGTTATTTAACTTGTTACTTTTAATGAATGTAAGTAGTTGTAAAGTCATAGAAGGGTCTAATTCTAGAACCTTGGATTTTCTGTCACCAAATTGTGTTAGCATTCCATCCCATGGCCCTGAATTTCTGTTTTCACCCTGTTAGTGTTCCATCTAACTTTCTGAAAGCAAGGGGATCTGGCAAATACATATTTCTGTGCCTCTACTTTCAATTTAGTCCCTCTGGTACATACGATCTTCATGTGTGTGTATATATATATATGTATTGTTGTTGTTGTGTGCCATCGAGTCGGTTCCGACTCATAGCGACCCTGTACAGGGTTTCTGAGGCCGTACATCTTTACGGGGGCAGAAAGCCTCATCTTTCTCCTACAGAACAGCTGGTAGTTTCGAACTGCTGACCTTGCAGTTCGCAACCCAATTTGTAACCACTATGCTACCAGAGCTCCTATATATATATATATATATATATATATATATATATATATTGAATGCACAGACACATTTGTATGTGTCTATCTATATATTTTTTAATCCTATGACCTTCACATCCCTCTGTGAGTTACTTTAGTTGGTTCATACCCTCCCACTCAAAATATGAGCCCACTTGCACACTGCAGTCCTCCTCTGACCATCACTTTCGGGGTTAGGGTGAGTGCCGCTACTGCCTCTATCTTCATGCATTTCATTTATGGCTCAGAAACCTGTTTATACAGGAAACTTTCCAATTACTTGTAAATCTAGGAACCTGCTCTCCCTCCCTCCAACATTTCCCAAACATGTTCTCCATCTATATTTACCATGTTGACTCCTGCTTTGAAATGTTAGTTCTTGGAGCATAGAGAACTGGTGTACTTTTTAAACGGTTTTCTGATATAGTTCATAGTTGTGAATTTCCATGAAAATCACCTAAAATGTCAACTTCCAAATCACAATCATTTTAAATGTATTCAGAGAGCTGCTTATTAATGATTCTGTTCTGAAAGTTTCCCAAAACAGTGTAAACAGTCTACTTTCCTTTTTGTTTGCGTGTTTGTTGGTGTTTTTGTTTGATTGTGCTGTCTGAGCTAGCCTCCAACCTCAGAACCTACGGCCAGTTGAATTACAAACGCATAATTGCATGTGCCAGGTGAGTCCATCCCAAAGGGAAGTATAGACTTCAAGTTCTTATTTTCACCCCATGGCATATTTCTACATCTTTTTATATTTCAAGATGCCCAAAAGATACAAAATTGTTCACTTTTTTTCTTAAACAACTACTTATTGTAAAGAATAGCTGTTTTGGCTCATATTGGTTTTCCCTCAAAGCTTTGATCTTCTTTCTACTTCAAACGCTGTTAATTTTTTCTGTCTTTGAGAAGGGTAAAGAGTTAGATGAGTATTACTCACTTCCATGGAGCCAATTCTGATTTGTAGCAACCCTACACGGCAGAGCACAACTGTTCCATAGGGTTTCTGAGACTATAAATCTTTACCAAAGCAGGCAATCTTCTCCTATGAAGTGGCTGGTGGGATTGAACTTCCGACCTTGTGGCTAGCAGTCCAACTATGCCACTGTTGTTGTTGTTAAGTGTTGTCGAATTGATTCTGACTCATAACAACCCTGTATAGGACTTCCAAGGAGTGGCTGGTGAGTTTGAACTGCCGACCTTGTGGCTGGGTGCTTCTCCTACAGCCCCAAACCAGGACTTCCACTGCACCACTAAGACTCCATGTATGTGTATTAGAGAAAGAAAAATTAAGAGTCTCTCATAAGCAGCTCGTACTCACAGAAAAATCATGATGTCTCCGCAAGGTCCCTAACAATTATTTGTTCTTAACTGAGGCTGAATGTTGAAGTCAGCTAAAGAGCTTTTAGACATTTTCAAAGCTCAGACTTCTCCCCCAGCGGCCATTATAATGACAGCCAGGGTTGAGAATCTCTGATTTGAAACTCTCTAAAGAAGATCTGGAACTAAAACAGTTGCTGTTGAGTTGGTTGTGACTCATGGCAGCCCATAGGGTTTTCAGTGGCTGATTTTCTAGAAGTAGCTTGTGAGGCCTTTCTTCCAAGGTACCTCTGTGTGAACTTAAATCACAACCTTTCAGTTAGTGGCCAAGTGCATTAACAATTTGCACCACCCAGGGACTCCACAGACTCTCCATGTTGTTGTTGTTAAGTGCCATCGAGTCGGTTCCGACCCATAGCAACCCTGAACAGGGTTCCAAGGCTGTAAATCTTCACTGGACCGGAAAGCCTCATCTTTCTCCCACAGAGCAGCTGTAGAGACTACTTTATTAGTTCCTATTACTGCTATAACAAATTACCACAACTTCCATTGCTTAAAACAACACAGATTTATGATTTGATTACTCTGGAGGCAGAAGTACTAATATCAAGATGTTGGAAGGCTGTGTTCTTCCTGAAGGCTCTAAGGGAGAATCCATTTCCTTGTTTTTTTCAGCTTTTAGAATAAACCTGCAATCCTTGGCTCACAGTCCCTTCCTTTATCTTCAAAACTAACAATGTAGCATCTTCCAGTCTTTCTCTCTGACTTGGACTTCCTTTCTTGGGTACCTATCTGCTGGGGCAGGGGAGAGTAGACAAGGCTGTTGTCTCTACATGTGAAATGTTGGCCATGGAGAGTGTGAAAAAACTTGTTCTGGGAAGAGCTAGAATCCATATATAAGACCCTGCAAAGTGGCAACTGGAGCTGGTATAAAGAGAGGCTGATTCTCTGAGAGTGGAATGGGAGATTTGTGTCCCTCTGCCATGAAGTACCCAAGTAACCTTCAGCAAATTAGTTTCTTTCTCTGGTCCTACTCTGTTGTTGTGTTCCACTGAGTTGGTTCCAACTCATAATAACCCCTATATAAGGTTTCTAAGTAGTGGCTAGTGGGTCTGAACCACTGACCTTGTAGTTAGAGTCCTGCGTGGGCCTATTCTGTAAAGCAAGGATATTGGACTAGCTCATCTCTAAGTTTCTCCAGCTCTAATTTAAGGAGTCCCAATGTGGTGCTGTAGGAGCTCTGGTAGTGTAGTGGTTACAAATCAGGCTGTGAACTGCAAGGTCAGCAATTCGAAACTACCAGCTGTTCTGCGGGAGAAAGATGAGGCTTTCTGCTCCTGCAAAGATTTACAGCCTTGGAAACCCTGTACAGGGTCGCTATGAGTCAGAACTGACTCCACAGCACTTAACAACAACAACAATGTGGTGCTATGGGTTAATGTGTTGGACTGCAAAATCAGTTTGAACTACAAAGTTGGTGGTTCAAGATTACCAGCAGCTCCTTGGAAACCCTATACAGGGTTGCTATGGGTTGGAACCAACTTGATGGCATTTAACAACAATTACCCATGTGTAAGTCAAAAGTATTGCCACAAAATCATAAGAATCTTTGCTAAGCAAAAATATCAAAATGTGAATTATTGTTTCTCAACATCTAGGACTATACACTTCTGAAGACAGTGTTTCCATTTCTCTAGCGCTTCCTCAAAGAATTCTGTACTCTTCAATTTACATCATGTCAAAACTGTAGCTTGGGCACCCTTGGGGGACTCAGATTATGTTTCTTTCCAATGTTCTTTGAGTTTGGGAAACAAAAAGTATCCTGAAAGGACAATATCAGGGATGTAGGGATAAGATTTCTCAGTAAAATTCTTGTAAGACAACCCTTGCTACCCTTGAAGATGGAAAGATGGAAACGAAAAAAAAAATTCCTCAGTACAACATTCCTGGCCTTTTTCTCACTAATGCAGTTTTCAATTTTCTTAAAAAACAAAACAAAACAACTTCTTTCTAACAAGTCCCCATGATCATCCTGCTGCCAAGAAAATCTATCAAGGTTGCCCCTCAAAAACCAGTTTCCATAACCTCCAGAGCAGACTTCTCTGCCTTGAATTTAACAGGCCCAGTAGTTCCCTTTGAAAACCACTGTTTTGATTGGACCTTGCTCTCTGGATTATATTGGTGAATCCAAGACTCATCCCAAGTATGATTTGCTCCATAAAATTATCTTCATTAGCTTCACTCTTGCTTAAAAGATTGATGGGAAGAACAGTTATTTGAACTAGCTGGTCTTCGTGCAATGCTTTTGACAACCATCAAGCTGAAAGTTTGCTTAGTCCAAAGTGTTTGCTTAAAATTCAGAGTGCTAAGCCATGTGAAATCCCATTCACAGTGGCTATCACATCACTGACTAGTCTATCGTCTTCTTCAACCAGTTTCTGAACTTCAGCCACAGTTTCTTCAATGTTGACAGTCTTCCCTTTCTTGGCTCATCTTTGAAGTCTTCCCAATCTTCTTTAAAATACTTGATCCACCTAAAAACTGTTTTATGTGGGGCAGCATTACTGTGCACTTGTCTCAAAGCTTCAGTGATTTGGGAAAACATCCACTAGAGTTTTGTTTAAAATTTGTTATTAGCCCTGACCTCAAAATCATTTTGTTCCCTTGGCATGAAAAGTATCCTCTTTGAAGGCACCCTAATGAGACTAAGCCATCCATTAATCACAGAGACATGTTTAAAGAGTTCTTATTTGGAATAAAGCCATGCTTGTATGAACTGGAACCCTAGTAGCAATATTTTTTGACTTACCCACATATAAAAAGGTTTTTGTTGAAAACTAACTCATTTGACTTCATTGAGAGGAAGCCTAATTCCAAATTCCAAAACAGAGCAAATAGAGATGTAATATTGAATCTTCTAGCCTTTGGTTTTTACAAATTGGGAACAGAATGTTCAAAAATGATGTGTGGAATATGCTTCAGGCTCTGTGACACTGAAGTTAGATTGGGTAAATTCCAAAAGTAACTGTGCAGTACTTCTGCACAGTAATAAATTCTTTGCCTTCAAATATTCTCTCTCCTGATTAGAAACGCCACCACATGATTTCTGAGTTCAGAGGGTCTCTTTTGTGTATTTAGCTTTTTACAACTTCTTTGTTGTATTCATAAGAAAAGGGGTGGTGGGAGGATTTCACTTCTCTCAGAACAAAATGCCTTTGGGGAAGATTGCTGTCTTTGGCAGCAAGCAAAAAGCTTCTTGAAAGGAAGGTTTCTGTTCCATGGTTAAAACAGTCTCCATGGCAACCAGTCATCAAGATTCCAGTAACCTTTTCATAGACACTTTCCACTCAGAAGGCCCTTTTCCATCCTCACATCTGTGAGCAAGAGTTCTCTACCTCTGGTGACTCTGACCCATCCAAATAGAAGTCCAGATGCCACGGTACAGTTTTAAGATGCCTTAAATTCCATTCTAAATTGCTAATTGGGTGAAGAATGGGTTAAATTTTTATGCGTGAGAGATTTAAAAAATATTTTTAACTATGATGATCAATAAGGAGCTCTGGTAGCATAGTGGTTACAAATCGGTCTGCCAACCTCAGAATCATCAGTTCGAAACTACCAGTTGTTCTGCAGGAGAAAGATGAGGCTTTCTGCTCCCGTAAAGATTTACAGCCTCAGAAACCCTGTACAGGGTCACTATGAGTCGGAGCCGACTCCACAGAACATAACAACAACAACAACAATGATGATCAATATTACATCAATATGTTAATAGGATCTGCTTTGTATATGTTTTATAAGTTGTGACTGAGGGAAAGGTATCCCCTCCCACCTCAATTAACTCACATAATACCTCCGTTTCACTAATACTCATTCCTTTAGGCCAGATCCATTTTTCCAATTTTGAGGACATCTTCCCAATTTTTTCCTCAATCCTGACTTCTCTTCCAAGCTCTCAAATGTCTAGCTGCCTCTCAATGTCACCTTGATGTGAGGCTCATACCTGAAACTCAACCTTTGTAGAATCACACTCATCCTGCCCTTGCCCCACATACCTGCCCCTCTTTCAAGTCCTCTTATTATTACTGCTGTTGTTAAGTGCTGTTGAGTTGCTTCCAACTCATAGCAACCCTGTATAGGGTTTCCAAGGAACTGCTGGTAGGTTTGAACTGCTGACCTTAGGTTCGCAGTCCTGTGCTGATCCTAAAGAGCCACACTAGGAGTCCCTTAACTCTACTTAATTGTAGTACTAAACCTCTGCCACCCAAAATCAAAATCTGGGAATTATAGAGATAAGTTTTTTAAATGAATTTATACTTCTTCAGAATTCATTTTACAAATAGGAGACTGAACTCAAGAAAGAATAAATGAATCATGGAAGTCTCTCAGTAGAACTGGGATAAAACCCAAGTTTCCTGACTCCCCTATTCAGTATTCTTTTAGTTAAAAAACAAACAAAAACATATATATATATATCCTATTTTATTGCCTTTGCCTTTCTTCTTGACTTCCCACCAGCACAATGCCTAGACAAGGAATAGTCCTTGAAGCATTGAAAAAAACTCAATAAACAATAAAGACTCTATTGTGATCATGAGGAAAATAAAGTATAGAGAAGAAAAGAAGAATCAGTTAGTCAGCCCACCAGAGAAAATAAATGCAAGCATTTTAGTGTATTTTCTTCTCTCTTTTACTAGACATTTTTTAAATCTCTTCCCAATATGTATTTTACAACAGTTTTTTAAAAATATGTTTCATTAGAAAAAGGGCTAAAGTGAGAATCAAGACACCTAGGTTCTTATGCAGTTTGGATATGAACTAGCTATGTGTCTCAGTCACTCTGTTGGAACAGAAATATGACAAGTAGGTGGCTGTAATGAACAGATTTCCCCCCACAGTTTGGGAGGCTAGGACTCTGAATGCAGAGCACTGGCTCTAGGAAAATGCTTTCGCCCTCTCTCAGCATCTCTCTTTTTAGCTTCTGTTCCTTGGTTCCTTGGCAATCTTCATGTGACGTGGCATCTGTCTTCTCCCATCTGTGCTGGCTTGTTTCTGTACCTAAGCTGCTCAAAAGGGATTGATTTAAGACACAGACATGCCCTAGAGTGGTATCATTCCATTGTTGTTGTTGTTGTTAAGTGTCGTTGAGTCGATTCCGACCCATAGAGACCCTCTAGAGGGTTTCCAAGGAGTGACTGTTGAGCTTGAACCACCAACCTTGCAGTTCAAACTGACTTTTCAGTCTAGCACATTAACCCACAGCACCACACCAGGACTCCTTCCATTAGCATCTCAGAAAACTCAATTCCCAAATGAGATTATATCCATATGTATGTTGTTGTTTTTGTTGTGTACCCTCCAATGGATTCCAATTTATATAACACTAAAGAATGAAGTCATGGACTGTTAACCACAAGATAGGCAATTCAAACCCACCAACTGATGCTTGGGAACCATATACAGAGTTGCTATGATTCCAAACCAACTTGATGGCACTTACCAACAATAATAACATAGGACAGAGTAGAATGTCCTCATAGAGTTTCCTAATAATCTTTATGACGGTAAAATGGTTAAGCACTCAAACGCTAACCAAAAGGTCATTATTTCAAACCCATCCAACTGCTCCAGAGGAGAAAAGACCTGGTGAGCTCTTCCTGTAAAAAAGTACAGCCCAGGTAGTCCTGTTGTCGTCACTGTTAAGGGCAGTTGAGTCAGTTTTGACTCATAGCTTCCAAGGAGCAGCTGGTGGGTTTGAGCCACTGACCTCATTGTTCTAACTGACCTTGCAGTCCAGTGCTTATCCTTCAGCACCACACCAGGACTCTAGGAAGCCCTGTTGTTGTTGTTGTTGTTGTTGTTGTTGTTGTTGTTGTTAATTGCCATCGAGTTGGTTATGACCCATAGCGACCCCTGTTGTAGGGTTTCCAAGGAGCAGCTGGTGAGCTTGAACCACTGACCTTACAGCTCAAACCAACCTTGCCCACAGCACTACACCAGGACAGTAGTTTGCATCCTGTCCTGTAGGGTTGCAAGGAATTGGAATTGACTTAGTGGCATACAATAACAGTCTTCATAGGAGCAGATCACTAGGTCTTTTCTCCCAAGGATTGGGCTTGAACTACTGACCTTTTTGATTAACAGCCAAGTATTTCACTCATTGTGCCACCAGGGGTTAGTATTGCACATTGTATATGGGGTTAGTATTCATTATCCACATAGTATAGGGGTTAGTATTATAGTATATATTTGGGGGGAACTTAATTCAATCCATAACACCATATGTTATCTCGTCCTCATAGTCCTCAGCTAGTTAACTGAGTTTGAACTAGATGACTTCTTTGATTCCATTCAATCTCAAAATGGTGGTACATTAAATCTGTTGGTCATATAAGTAAAGAGTCAAAACAGATGACTTAAGGGTCTCTTGCAACTCTAACTTTCAGTGATTCTAATACATATATTGTGTTGTTGTTGTTGTTTAAGTAGTGTCAAGTCAGTTCTGACTCATAGTGACCCTATGTAGGGTTTCCGAGGAAGCAGCTGGTGGGTTTAAACTGCCAACTTTGTGGTTTGCAGTCCAGTGTAGATCCTCCAGCGTCACACCAGCTAGAGAGGCAAAAAAGTAGAGCTGCATATTCCAACCCATTAAGGAATAGAGCCTTGTCTTAAAGAATCATATTCATTTATTTATTCTATTTGCTAATCCCTAATTTATTTTAGCTATAAACCCGGCAAGGACGAATCATCCTCTGGATCCTCCCATGCTGTAATGGATATCTCTTTGCCTACTGGAATCGATGCAAACACAGAAGACTTAAAAGCTGTAAATGTTTTCTTTTAAATATTGTCAATGCTTGTTTTTCTTTTCTACATTATGTTTATTTACTTTCATTTGGATATGTGACTTCCACAGACTCATCCAGGAATAGTCTATTCAAACCAACAATCTACCTAAGTTTTTGTTTTCCAAAGTGCTCAATAAAACCACAGCCATCAAGTCAATTCCCCCTTGTAGTGACCCTATAGGACAGAACAGAACTGCTACACAGAGATTCTGAGACTGGAAATCTTTATGAAACTGACAGCCTCATGTTTCTCCTGAGGAGTGACTGGTGGGTTTGACCCTTAACCTTTTGGTTAGCAGCCCAGTGCTTAACCCACTGCACTCCGAGGGCTTGTTTTCAAGGGCAGTGGGAGCATGATCTGAGAGCTTGCGTGCATATACTAATATGTTCCAACTTTCCAAGAAGAGTAACTACTCAGCAGCTTCTTTAAAAATTGGATCACATACCTGTGGTCTAAATTCCCATCAATAGGTGAGTGCATTGAAACAAAAAGGCAATAAAATGAAGTTCAAGGTTTCCTCTTTCTTTTCTCAGCTTGTGGATGGAGTGGATCAATTATTAGCTGATTACCAGGTCAAAGATGGACATGTTATTCTGCAAGTAAATTCGGTAAGCTGCACCCTTTCCCCCATTTTTCCTTTACCATTGTTGTTGTTAAGAGTCATCAAGTTGGTTCCAACTCATAGCAACCCTGTATAGTTTCCGAGGAGTGCTTGGTGGGACTGTACTCCCAACCTTACTGTTAGCAGCCCAGTGCTTATCCTGTAGTGCTACAACTAATCAGACTAAAGTATCATGAGTATCTTTTTTCCCATGATTTCTTTAATTCCTTGAATTTGTCAAACAGATTCCCACCAATGAGTACCTCTGTGTCCGTTTCCGGATATTTGAACTTTTTCAAGTTGGATTTCTGAGTCCTGCTACTTTCACGGTGTATGAATACCACAAACCAGGTAATCAGCTCAAATCTAAAAGTTCTTCAGGAGACTACTTCCTATTCTTTACAGAACCGTTAGAAATCTACTAGAGAAGAGTATCCTATTTTACATATTGCCTCTCCAGGGCTCACTTGTCACAAAATCACCACATTTCAACTCGGACACACAAACTATTACATGACTTTAAATCATTCATTTCACGACTCTACTCCCAACTTTAAAATCATTTGCCTCAAGTTTATCGTTGGTATTCAATTTCAGTATCCACTTTCTTTGATAAATTTGCTCACTCTTTCATTTATGTAATCCATCCAGAATCAACAGCCACTCCATCTATATCATCATCACATTTTGCAGACAGCTCTATTTTAGCAGGTGTCACATTACATTATGATTATTTACTTACATATCTTTCTCACCAATCCTAAAAAAGTCATCTTTGTGTCTCTAGTGTCTAATATAGTATCAAATACATAATGTGTACACAGAAAATAATTGTTCAGTGAATAACCCCACATTTGGTCACTCAGCCATTTCTGAGAATGTTAAATCATTGGAGGGCTCATTGGTTCACAGGGTAAACTGTTACACCTTGGAAATTATAATTATAAGGAAATTCTTATAGGAGGGTAAATAAAAAATTATTGCTATAAAACTATGCACACTTTTATCAAACAAAAATATCAAAATGTGAAGCTATTGTTTCTTGGCAGATCCTCCATCTAGGTCTATATAATTCTGAAGGCATTGTTTCCTTCTCTTAACCCTCCCTCACAAAGAATTATGCAGTCTTTGTTTTATACAACATCAAAATGGCAGTTTGGGGGTATCCTTGAGGGACACAAATCATGTTACTTTTAAAATATTCCTTGAGTTTGGAGAACAAAGAGAAGTCGGAAGGGGCAAGATCAAGATTGTAGGGTGGATGAGGTAAGGTTTCCCAATGAAATTCCTTTAGGACAGCCCTCAAAGAATGAGCAGATGCATTGTCATGATGGAAAGAATTCCTCAGTGCAACTTTTCTGGCCTTTTTCTCACCAATATAGTTTTCAACTTTCTTAAAATTTCTTCATAACGTTTATGTTTCTTTAGTGCCATCGAGTCAGTTCTGACCCACAGCAACCCTGTATAGGGTTTCCAAGGAGCAGCTGGTGAGCTTGAACCGCCATCCTTGAGGTTCAAACCGACTTTGCAGTCCAACACATTAACCCACAGCACCACACCAGGACTCCCATTCTTCATAATAAGCCCCTATCATTGTCATGTGTCCTTCAAGAAAATCTATCAAGATTACACCTTTGGAATCCAGAAAACAGTTGTCATAGATTCTGAACTTTGAATTTAACTGACCCAGCAGATCCCCTTTGAAGCCATTGTTTTGATTAAACTTTTTTCTTAAGGCACCCTAACAAAACAAAGACATGTGTATTACTGAGAAAATTTATCTGTAGCTATCCATTGATCACAGAGACATGTTTAAACACATTTTGTTTGTAGTAAGCCCATGTATATATAAACTAGAACCCCAATGGCAATACTTTTTGACTGGCCCTCATATTGAGCCAAACTGATACCCATTCATTCTACTTTTATCTTCTAAAATCACATAGAACATACTTAGTTTTTCTTCTCTTCTCCTGCCTAAACAATTATAATTCTTTCACTAGGTCTTCATGCAACATATATATCTTCCTCTCATTCATAGAGGCACCAAATATTTCTTCCTAAAAAGTGGATATTATACAGTAAGTTTTCAAACACATAAAAGGCAACACGAGGAAATCCTGTTGAGGGTAGAGGAGTCCTTCACAGAACAACCAAATCATACAACTTTCTTCAGCTAATTATAAGGCCATCTCTGCTCTCTTTCATTTACCCTAAATCAACTACATTTTCAAACTATCTATATTCCAGTAGCTGTTTGATTCTACTACTCAGCAGAATGCTAAAGTTAAACCATTTCATCTATTACATGCCTTGCTATATATATTATAAACATTTTCCCAAGTCTATTCTATTTGGACTTTAGTATATTTTAAACGGAGTCCTAGTGTGGTGCTGTGGGTTAATGCGGCAAACTGAAAAACCATTTGAGCTACAAGGTTGGTGGTTCAAGCTCACCAGCTGCTCCTCGGAAACCCTATACAGGGTCGTTATGGGTTGGAACCAACTTGATGGCACTTAACAACAACAACATATTTTAAATACTATATTTTATAACAATATAAATATACAGTATTGATATATTTTAATGTTATTTTTATTTAATCAGATCTTTTATGATTTCTAAGCCCTGTATCTTAGAAAGACTTGTTCACACACAGACTAATTTTTAATTATATTTTTATTGTCCTTTCATAGATTTTTTTTTTTAGATCCTATTTATCTGGAATTTATTCTGGTATAGGGAATAAGGCAGGAATTCAATTTTTTAAATTTTCAGATGACTTGCTGTTTATTCTAATACCATTCATTGAATTCGCGCTCTTTTCTGGAGGAGTGTTTCAGCAATTTGGTTGATAATAGAGTATTCTAACAATTGACCACAGAGTCAGTTGGATGGACAATGATTTAAAATTCCATCCAATAGCATGAAACTTTGAAAGTAAATGTATAGTGGAAACAGACGTGTATCCTAACGTTAACTCCATCATAACCTTACTGTGCAGACAGGAAAGTAATTGAACCTCCCTGGGCCTTAGCTATAAAGAAAGATTTGGAATAGGTGATTCTCCATGGAAGAGACTCACCAACCAATAAAGTTTGTATAAAGGAATCAAGTTACTTCTCTTAACCATGTTTTCATTGCCACAGATAAACAGTGCACCATGTTTTATAGCCCTTCCCATACCAAACTGCAGAAGGTCTGTGAAGGAGCAATGTGCCAATGTGTAGAAGGTAAGCTTTGAGTAGCATGTTTAAATGCTTAAAGTAGCCACTTGTGATCCAGGGCTAACCTAGAGGAAACTGGCCAACTGTCATTTCTTAGAAGTAGAAATTGTCATCTTAGCTGATTGACTTATGATTCCTTGAACATTGTAAAGCTATTTCTCTGCAACTCCTGAAAAGCCTAATGGTTTATACCATTCCAGGACAGAGAAATGCCACGCAGCCGGTTGCTGGATATCCGAGGGCTAACAGGATCTGAATATTAACTGAATTTTCTAGTTTCCATCAGATCTTTTTAATATAATAGGAGCCTAGCCTAAGTGAACAGAGACTCAGAACTGAACCACCAGCTCCCCTTTCTTTCATGTTACTTCTTAATGTATTTCTCTTCTTTCCTGTACAGTTCCAGTCAGTCTTTTGTAAATCTAAGGTAGCCTTTTGGAAAAGCTCCAGAATTCACCAATAATCAGCAGCTGGTTCCATGAAGGACTGTTTTGTTTTGTTTTTTTCCAAAATTCTTAATATCTTACACATTTCCTAGATACTTACTAAGCCATCTTAAAGATGTAAACCCGTCAAATTTTCACTGTTAATTCTTTCAAGGGATCCTATAACTTTTTATCATTATGTCATACTCATAATGGAAAATTTCCCCCCTTCAAGGGAAGCATATGCATTTCTAAAGAGCTGAATGTGCATTGGTGCTAAGAAGTGACCATCTCAATCTAAATCTTATGTTCATGATTTTCTTTTTGGTTTTGTTGGTTTCTTAGGTTTTCTGTTTTTGCTTTATGTAGTATTCTATTTTCTGGTAGAGGGGAAAAATGACTGGTTTTAGGAATCTGGAATTTGTAAGTTTGTAGTGGATTATCCTAGGACTCATGAGATGCCATTTACTCCCAAAGAGAGTGTCTGCTTCTTTACACTAATCTATTTTTACTATTTTCCACAAAATCCAGCTGACTGTGGACAAATGCAGAAAAAATTGGATCTGACAATCTCTGCAGAGGCTAGAAAAGATGCAGCATGTAAACCAGAGATTGCATATGGTAAGTTCAAACATTCAATATCCCTTAAACACATGATCAGCTAGAAGGATCAAAAACTTTATATAGTGGTTATATAGGCACAACCTTCCATGTGAGTCCTCAAAGAAAAATGCTATTTTCAGCATTCACATGCAAAGTGACTTATCCTTTAGTAAAGAAATGTGATTTTTCATTTAGATTAGTAGGAGTAATATGTACGCCAAGCCAATGCACTTTATACCAATGGATCCCTTTGAATTAAAGATATTAAAACATATTCAAAAGACCTTTTGAGAAACCACAGAGTTGTAAGATTTCAGAACTAAAGTCTTCCAGTGGATTCAGCAGAGGCAATGGCAATTTGGGGATTTTTATTTTTTTGCAAATCCCTTCAAAAATAACATAAAACTATAATTTGCTAAGGAATTTTAATGTGAGTATATGCAGAATACAATTTTATGATTGAGATTCTTTTCTTTTCAAAAAAGATTCTTCTTTTTTGGTGACTAGAGCTTAGAGCTGAATCAAATGCCCAAGAATAGTAGCAGTATTGTCTCAAACCTCTAATAGAATTAGTTGTTGGGATTTTTTCTGCCCATAGTTTCTGACATTCAGGACATTTTACATTCATTGTAGGTTGCTAATTTACACAGCATTTGATTCTGCCACAATGAATTCATCTACCTGCCTAACAGCTAGTTAGCTAGATCTGTCTGTCTATATACCTACCTATCTGTCTGTCTGTCTCTGATGTTGAGAAACTCATAGATTGAGAGTATTTTAAAATTGAACAAACTTTTAGGCCATTCACTTGAATCCCATCAAAAGCAAAAATGAAAAGGATCTTTTCTCAAATTACATAGAAAAGCTGGATCCCTTGAAACTGATCATTCCAGTGCTGAGGTCAAACACACCATAGACTAAACACAGGTGCTTGAATGAAAAGAAAACAAGGTTGGTAATGCCTAGATAGCTGCTAGGATGAATAAGAATTCCATCAAGGCAAGAGAATATAGAACGTGTGGCCATGTAAGAGCCTGCACCTGTGCCACCTCACCGCCTTCCATGGGCACGCCTCCACTAATCGTAATGGATCAGAACCTGAACTTCATATTTGGTTGGTTTGGTGTGCTTCTGTTTTGTTGTTTTTTATTTAACTTGACTCTTACTCTAATCAGCTTGCAGTGGTCACAGCTAATGATTCTAAGGGAGATTGAATTAGACTAAGGATATTTTTCCAAGCATCTTGGGGAAAAAATAAAAAGATTTCCTGAACCCACCAACCACTCCTCAGGGTTGATCTGAGTCTGAACCGACTCAACAGTACTTAACAATGGTGTTCCTAGTGGCTCAGCATGCTTTGTTTCACCTTTGTTTGACAAATTCTACCTTCTATGGACCATGAGTAACATTAACATGAATGACTTTGGGTTTTTTTTTATCAGCTTATAAAGTTAAAATCACATCTATTACTGAAGAAAATAGTTTTGTCAAGTATACTGCAACTCTTCTGGATATCTACAAAGCTGGTGAGAATTCATTCATTCATTCACAAATGTCTAGTACTACTATGTGCTAAGCATTATTTTAGACACAGGAGATATAATTTGAATAAAACATCCAGGGTTCCTGTCTTCATGAAGCTTACAGTCTACTGGGGAGACACACTTTTTTATAAAAGGAAGTGAAAAAATAAACTAAATTATTAAAAATAAGTATTATATATGAAGCAGACATGAAACAAACTATTAAGACAGGAAAACTGCTTCAATATGATAACAGCTTCTTTTCAGAGGTGATATTTTGGAAGAAAACCTGGTGATTTACTTATTAAAAAATCAGTTAAGTGAAAGCCTGTGGAAAAGAAAGAAAATCTTACGGATCACAAGTGGCCATCGCTCTGTTTCAATGTGCACTGGGTAGCCAGCCATGAGTAGGGGCTCAACTTTACAGCAACTAACAATAGCCGCCATCACAGCTTTCTTTTGTGGAGCCCCAGGTAAATTTGAATTGCTGAACTCTTGGTTAACAGCAAAGCACTCAGTCACCCTACCACCACTGCTAATTATTGTATTGTTGCTGTTGTTGTTAAGTGCTGTGCAATCAGTTCTGACCCATAGTGACCCCATATAGTGTTTCCAAGGAGCATCTGGTTAGCTTGAACTGCAGACCTTGTACTTCAAACTGACTTTGCAGTCCAGCAAATTAACCCACAGCACCACACCCAGGACTCCAATTATTGTATTACCCTGGGATAACTGAATAGGCAATTTGGCCAGTGCCAAACTGAAACCGCTGTAATTTCACAATTTGTACTGAAAACCTGGCAATACATTTACACCAATAAGGTATTCATATTAATATTTCTTATTGAATCCTTTTTTCCTAAGCTTAAACAAAACAGTTTGATATATTGTTCAGGTATTTTTACATCTAGTGCCCTGAAACAAATTGCAACAAAAGTTATTAACCATATTCCTCTTCAATATTTCATTTTAAATACTTTTAAGCAGTTTTATATCAAATAGTTGATTTTTCAATGTTTAATTGATATTTTTCTCTTTTGAACTTCTGTTAAATATTTTGACTATAAAATGCTTGTTTCTAAACTTTTTTTTACTTTATTCACATTCCAATAAAATGTTTTCTAGTTTTCATTAGTTCAAGTATTTCACACTATGAAAGTAATTTGTGACATCCTTATTTGCCTTCACTGATAATCCCAAATTTTCTTTATTTGAACATGAATCATATTCTGATGAAATTTGTAAACATTTGTTACTTTCAGCTTTTTATGATCTAACTTTTGAATACCATTTGCATCCAATGTCCACATCACAAGCAATAATACACCCATTTTTACTGAAATGATCAAATATTTTTCATTTAAGAAATACATATGATTTATTTAATTTTATACAATCTTTCACAGTGGTATCAAAAGGCATTCCAGACTGTTGTCACATTTTACACAATATCAGATGATTCCCAAGTTTCCATTCTAGATTAATATTTCTTCTTTGTTCTCTTATAGATTCTGAAGGTTCATGTTCATGATGTCTTAAAGGAAACATGTTATGAAACATGCATATTTTGTTATCACCTCATTTCCCCAGCCTTATTTTTGATATTTATTATAAATTTTGAATCTATAAATATCAAAACACCACACACATACTACTCACACAAGAATTGCTGTACGCTAACAATAAGTCAAAACAAAAAATAAAAACTCAACAATTTAGAATCAAGAGCACTTACGTAACTTAAGGCTATTTTCCTAAAGCACAGGGCACTTAGACAAGGATGTAGATGAAAAAGGACCAATGATAGTTGAAGCTGAGTTTAACTAACTATTCTAGCTTCTTTTAATATGTTTGAGAAACAAGACATTTTTAAATGATAAACTTTTATTAAGCCATGCCACTTTCTATGACAGGGATTGGATTGGTAGATTGTTGTTGTTAGGTGCCGCCCATCGAGTCAATAGTGACTCTTCTTAAGGTTTTCCAGGAGCAACTGGTGAGTCTGAGCCCCTGACCTTGTGGTTTAAACTGACCTTGCAGAATTGGCAGATAGTGCTGGGGATATTCCACAGATACTGCTGCAACAGAAAGCCATGTCTGAATGGCCATCAAGACAGCATAAGAAAATAAGTTTGAACTAATGTGTGCACACTATGGTTGTTGTTGTTGTTGAGTGCCATCAAGTCGATTCTGATTCATAGAGACCCTGTATAGGGTTTTCGAGGTGTGACTGACACGGTTCAAACCAACCTTGTGGTCCAGAGCATTATCCTACAGTGAGTGACACACCAGGATGGTAGGTGCCATCAAGACAGTTCTGACTCATGGTGACCCTCTGCACAACAACAAAATACTGCCCGGTCCTGCACCATCCTCACAATTGTTCTTAGAGTTGAGCCCATTGTTGCTCCCACTGTGTCAATCCATCTCATTGGGGGTCTTCCTCTTTTCCCCTGACCCTCCACATTATCAAGCATGCTGTCCTTCTCCAGAGACTGATCCCTCATGACAACGTGTCCAAAGAACAAAAGATAAAGACCCATTATCCTTGTTTCTAAGAAGCATTCTTACTATACTTCTTCCAACACAGGTTTATTCTTCTGGAAATCCATGGTATTTTTAATATTCTTCTCCATCATCATAACTCAAATGCATCAATTCTTCTACAGTCTTCTTTATTCATTGTCCAAATTTTACATGTATATGAGGCAATTGAAAATACCATATTTTGCATCAGGCCTACCTTAGTTCTCAAGTTTACATCTTTTTGCCCTTTAATATTATAAAGTCTTTTGCAGCAGACATGCCTAATGCAATATGTCTTTTGATTTTCTTGACTGCTGCCTCTCAGAGTGTTGACTGTGGATACAAGTAAAATGAAATCTTTGACAACTTCAATCTTTTCTCTGTTTATCATGATATTATTTATTGGTCCAGTGGTAAGGATTTTCGCTTCTTTTACATTGAAGTGCAAACCATACTAAAGGTTGTAGTATTTGATCTTCATCAGTAAGTATTTTAACTCTTTATCACTTGCAGCAAGCAAGGTTGTGTCATCTGCATAGCTCAGGTTATTAACAAGCCTTTCTCCGATCATGATGCTACATTCTTCTTCATATAATCCAGCATCTTAGATTTTTCTTGCTCAGCATACAGATTGAGTAACTATGGTGAAAGGATTTAATCCTTGCACACACCTTTCCTAATTTCAAACTATTCAGTATCCACTTGTTTTGTTTGAATAACTACTTCTTGGTCTATGTACAGATTCCTCATGAACGTGCTTCCCATTCTTCACAATGTTATCCACAGTTTATTATGATCCACACAGTCCAATGCCTTTGCATTTGATAAAGTGCAAGTAAACATCTTTCTGGTATTCTCTGCTTTTAGCCAAGATCTATCTGGTGTTAGCAAAGATATCCCAAGTTCTATGTTCTCCTCTGAATCCAGTTTTAATTTCTGGAAGCTCTCTGTCCATGTACTACTGCAACCATTTTAAAATTATCTTTAGCAAAATTTTACCGGCATGTGATAGTAATGATATTGTTTGATGATTTCCACAATCCGTTGAGATCTTTCTTTGGAATGGTCACAAGTATGGATCTTTTTCAATCTATTGGCCAGGTAGCTGTCTTCAAAAATTCGTGGCATAAACAAGTGAGTATCTCGAGTACTGCATCAGTTCGTTGAAACATTTCAATTTGTATTCTGTCAGTTCCTGGAGCCTTGTTTTTCACCATTGCCTTCAGTGCACCATGGACTTCTTCCTTCACGACCATCAGTTCTTGATCATATCCTACCTCTTTTTTTTTTTTTTTTTTAATGAATTATGTGATAGTTTACATGGGAGAATATTAGTTTTACATTCATCCTATCATATATCGTTTCATTGCCATGATTACAATCCCCTCCATGCATCATCAACCAACCAAAGAGTATACCCTGCAAGCCTGACCCCCTGGTCATCAGCACATAGCCCCTCTCCCTCTCTGGGTCTAAAGTCCCCAGCCACTCCATCTCTCCATGTCATTGGCTCTGCCTCCATCTCTGGAGTCACTGCTTCTCTGGGTAGGGTCCCACTCTCCGCTCTTCTCCCTTGATGGTCCCAGGGACCTCCGCTCCTGGACTGCAAAGTCAACCACTCCCCTCCTTTTGCTACAAAACGTCTACCTTTACATTTCCAACCCTCACAGACAGTCCTGATAGCAATTGTTCAGTATTGTACCATAAGAGTCCTATCCCCATCTCCTTTCATCAGCCCCACCCAGACAAATTGGATACTACTCAGTGGAGATTCTACCTTTCTCTGAGACCTCTGGATCTAGGCTTCCAATTGAAAGCTTGTAAGCCAGTCACTTCTTGCCTTTGTAGCCCCACCATTTTGGGTAGTCAATGCCCAAGTTTTCCATCCTTATCTACCCCGTGTATCGAGGGGATGGGAATGACATATGCTACCTCTTAAAATGGCTGAGTATCTACCAGTTCTTTTTGGTACAGTGACTTGGTATTCCTTCCATCTTCTTTTGATGCTTCTTGAGTCCTTCAATATTTTGCCCATCAAATCCTTCAATAAGCTAGTCAAAGCTTGAATTTTTCTTCAGTTCTTTTAGCTTTGAGAAATGCTGAACATATTAATCCTTTTTGGTTTTCTAACTCCAGGTCTTTGCACATTTCATTATACTACTTTACTTTGTCTTCTTGAGATGCTCTTTGAAATTTTCTGTTCTGCTCTTTTACTTCCACATTTCTTTCATTTGCTTTACCTTCTGTATGCTTAAGATCCAGATTCAAAGTCTATTCTGACATCTATTTTGGCCTTTTCTTTCTTCCCTGTCATTTTAATGAACTTCTGCTTTCTTCCTGTATGATGTTCTTCATGTCATCCCACAAGTCTTCTAGATTGTGGTCATTAATGCAGTGTTGAATGCATCAAATCTGTTCTTGAGATAGGCTCTAAATTTAGGTGGGATAGATTTAAGGTCATATTTTGACTTTCATGT